GCCGTTGAATTTAAACTGGGGCAATCTATCGATCGGCCTTGAAGGATGATGGGGTTTAGTGTTATGCCTTTTGCCTGCATGGCGCCTCTTTGGACATAATGGGGGGAAGGATGATGGGGAATCACGGTCCAGCAAGTGCTTAGGGGAAGATGGGATTGGTGACATTGTTTGATTCAAATCAGGTAATAGGAAGCCTCATTGGGATTATGCTAGCGAGCTTATGCTCGGTTGGGGCCTGATCAAGCTAGAAAGACTTGGAGGGGTGGTTGGATGCGATTGAAAATGAGATATCTATAATAGCTCGCTAAATGCTATTCTAGAGTAAGTAAAACGCTGCAGTGGGGCTAGGGTCCGGGAAAATTCTTTTAACGACACCTGACCTTGAAATTCAAAGTTCTGGTTCACTTTCCAGCCTGCTGAGTGGGGTACGATCGGGTCTTTATAACCTGAATATGGCAGGCAACAACACCGGATGGAGGAAGGTAAAACAAACAAGGCATGCTTATCACACGAAGCCATCGCAGTTGCGGGAACCGAAAAACTAAGACAATGAGCATGAGGTCCAACTAATTCAAGGTGGCAACTATTGCTGGCCCTGGCCTTGGGCGGTTGAGAAGGTGATCAGAGTCACACCAAGCGGAAATTGATATGGAGATGGAATGATTCGAAGTAGAAGTCACTGGTGAGTTTTGTCTCGAAAAAATGGTTTAACCCGAAAGTAAGTAGACCCACTGGGGCCAATGTTGCAGGCAAGTCAGTGCAGGGGAAAGGTTCGAGGGGACACCGTATGTGGAATTGAACTTGAGGTAGAAACAAACCGAAATCTCAGCAAAATCCAGGTTGGTCAAATCCGAACGAAATTTTATCCGGTTAGAATGATCTCGTCCCAGAGGTCGTCATGACCAGGTAAAATTGCTTGTAGCTGCAATTAGAGGCTCAATTGGGTGAGAGTTTGCGGTCGAGATCCTGAAGAAAGTTTTTGCGGGAATGCCAACAAGCTGGGTATGGCAGTGTCATGCCATCACTTCAAAACATACTTCGGTTGATGGACTGCCCCGTAACGGCTGTGAAGGATGCCGCAATCGGAGAGGAGATACGCATTTTCGTGGCGTCCGGATCTGAGTTGGACGAAGAGATTGATGCAGATGTAGTCAGGCTGATGCAGGTTCACACATAATTTCCCCTCAGTTGGAGGACCATGTGGCTCTAGACCGGGGGTTGGCCAGATTTAATGAATAACGGTTGTACAGGGCGCTTGGGTAACTACAGTTTGCATGTTGGGAAGCAGCGCGATTATTTCTAACGTGAAAGATATTGTTGTATTGTTAATTTGCGTGCAATTTCCACATAGCACAGCGCTTTCGGCTGAGTATTTGTGCATATCAGAGAATGGAAATCATCTACAGAGTTGCATGCTATCATCATTATTTCACGATGCATTAAATTCTTTTTTAATTTACATATTGAATGACAGGCGAGGTTTGCTGATCTGTTGTTTGCGGGATTTTACGCATGCAAGATTTATTCCAGCATTCTGCTGAGCGCAATTTGTAACTGGTATCTTGTAGACTTTATGTGGCTTGTGAAGAACCCCGCGGAATGCTATAAATATGCTGAAGTTTGATTTTGTGCCTTATCGCGCAAACGGTTTATGAAATACAAATGGGCAATGGTCAATGACCTTGAACTTTTTTTAACCGAAAAATTCTATGAGCAATATATCATCTGAACAAGCAAACTCATTAAACCGATTCTACGTAGAAAACGCAACCTTCAAAACCCCATAGCTCCACCTGAAATAATTTGGGTTCACTTCAATTAAATGACCGAATAGGCTCACATTTCATCTTCAATCAACCTGGCGCCGGCGACCAAGGCGCCGGTGCGCGCATGATTTCTGGAACTTTATTGGCGGCGAAGGTGCGTCCGTTGCTTGATTTTGATGTTTTCATGGCCACCATAAATGATTTCTAGTCACAAGTTCAAGACTGCGGAACTAACAACCATATAACGGGGAGTATCCGGTGGACCCATTTTTCTCATTACGTCTGCTGCTGATTTAGAGACGGCGACCTGAACGTCACCTGTCTTAATAATACCATCTGAGTCCGATGGCTGAAATCTAGTTTGGTCCAAGTTCTAAGGAACATATGGGTGCTAAAGCCTTGGCATTGCGCACACTGATTGTCCTCCAGAAATAACCAAATTGACGATCGAAAGAAATTTATGAAATCCTCACTGCAAGGAGGTTAATACCATTTATACCCAGTGGGAGAGGATAATCTATTAGCAAGAGTAAGCGACAAAACCGCTAAGTCGAGCAACGGGTACAGAACAACGGATCCGAATTCAAAACGAAAGTGACCCCGACGAAAATGCGCTGTGCCATATGACAAAACATTAATAAATCAATTAACGTACAACAAAACTTGACAGTTATCGACCGACAGTTAGGCCAACGACGGACAAAGAGACGCGTACCAAGTGTGAGAGGTCCAGTTCGAAAATTTCCCCAAAATGCGAATTTAAACAGATGACAATACAGTTCATGTGGGGAACAAATAACATGTTCATAGTATGTGCAACGCAATGTTTTAAGGGATGAGATAGAAATGGGATTATACAATCATAAAATGTCAATGAATAGCAGGCAGGATTGGGCGGAACATTTAAATTTATGCAACTGAGTTCAGGGAGGTTGGGTGGGAGAAATTTTCAAGCGTTTTGTGCCAGTAGGGAAGGTTCATGTGGGGAACAAATAACATGTTCATAGTATGTGCAACGCAATGTTTTAAGGGGTGAGATAGAAATGGGATTATACAATCATAAAATGTCAATGAATAGCAGGCAGGATTGGGCGGAACATTTAAATTTATGCAACTGAGTTCAGGGAGGTTGGGTGGGAGAAATTTTCAAGCGTTTTGTGCAACACAGTAGGGAAGCTACGTGGTCCCAGGCGAAGATTCCAACGACACAGATGCTACTTAGAGTGGAAGGTATCTTTCGCCACCAGAGATGACAGACTAGATTTCGTTTAAGCATGTTATTGAGCGCTCTCGGCCACCGAATGTGATTTTCCCTTATAGAGCATGTTTTAGGTGGATTGTTTTTCAGAAGGCAATCAAAACAGCTAACTCCGTTTAGATTTTTCTCACGTAAGCAGACAGCCGTCAACAATTTGAGGAGTTTGCTCGTTGTAATCCTGTTTTGGTAGGTTTCGAGCTCGAACCTTTGCGGAACAATTCCGTGAAAATAGTACTTGGTTAAAAACGTGCCACCCATTTTTAACGCGAAAATCCAGTTCGCCAAGGCACAGCGAATGACATAATTGGATGGCTTAAGTGTCCCTTCGGTAAGATTTTTAAATGCAGATAGCCCGCTCTAGGTTCTCTATATGGCAGTTGGGGAAGAAAATGTGCCTGAAAACCAAACGTTCGCTTGCTCCCCTTACCGCGTTACCAGTTGTGTGAAGCAATGCGTATTATGACTTTGTGCAAACACCACCAAGAAGCGATTTCTCCGGTTTTGTTGGAGCGCTTCTTCTAGAGAATGACATTTGGGTGATCATCCTTGCGTCCCTCGTGCGCCTGTTTACTGGAGATAGCATGTTGTTGTCGGTCAAAGTGTAAGAGAGCTGGAGTATATTCGTAGCCGACATAATCAGGGTGAAGAGCACCAGACACTCATTTTATTGAATATCCATATGGTTTGAAAAGGAACACAGTGACGAGCATTAGTGTTTCGGGATGTCGTCATCAGGTCAGCTGGATATGTTTCTGAACTAGTCGGACCTCATGCCCATTGTTCCCAACAAGTTGGGAAAGAAACCTATAATTATTATTTCATCGGATATTCCCCACTGTTCATGACAGTCTGCACTTTTTGTGTAATCCGCACCCCTACAAATCCCCAGTCATGCCGCCTTATGGCTGTAAACATATGATCATGCCAGAAGGTATGCCACCCCCAAGTTGGGAATAACCTTTATTATTATCTAATGGTTGAAATAGGAGCAAAAAAATGAAATACGGGGGGAAGATTGGTCAGTGAAATGCTAAACGTGGAGACATGAACGATTGGTTGCCTGCTCCTCCCGTGTCGCATCTATTCGGATGCTGTGAGACAGTCAAGAGCGCTGTTGAGTGACTTGACCGGTTGATTCGTGTCACATGACCAAAGACGACTCAGCGTTCGTACGAAACGTTTTTGACAGCACAGTACCGGGTTTCGCAGGCGTATAGCTCTTTTAGGTAGGGGGAGTTCATTGTCGACTGAAGTCCAGGTTGCTACATCTGCATCTTATAATGTCTGCGGAAGCGAATCCAGTTTTCCTCGGGTCACCGACTAAAGTAAAACGTATCGCAATTTGTGGAATGCATCGCGCTGTTTACAGATAGTCGTGTAAAATGAGATGCTACGATGATTGTTGCTGGCCTCAAACCGTCGCCTATGGATCGTTTCTCGGAATAGTCGTCCTGTTTCCTCGGGGTATTTTCGCCTCTGATGAGACCCAGTACTTGCTTATACCCTGTTTGACGAAGGTGTGACCAAAGAGCTCCACCATTAACTCAACTAATATATGGCTGGGACACTGTAAAAACATTTTTAAGTTCACAGAGCACATTTTTATAAGGCAGTAATTTATCTGATCTCAGGTAGTTGGCGTTGGGAATACCCTTTCTCTGACGGTTGTTGACGTGGCATCTAGACCCCAGTTCAAAGCGCTTTTATATGTTATTTATGTGAGCTCTACCTTTGGCATAATCGCTACCCAGCACTGAGAACTCAAAGATCGGTGCTACACCCCTGTGCGTTTCATCTGAACAAAGGCCGCTGAGTGTAGAGGATAAACCTGACCTAGGAAGAATAGAGAAAGGCCCGAATCCTGTATATTACTCCCTGAATCCGTGAGCAGCAGCCATATCTACCACTAAGTGTTTAGTCGAGCTCTTGGTTTGGCGTCATTTTAAAATCTAGTCGTTGCATTTTGCCGGTCCACGATGGGCGCAGGAGAGAACACGACTTCGGTGGTCACCACTTTTACGGTTAGCCGAATGGATCCCTCGGATGTTTTAAACCTTGCCAGCGAATTTGTCATACAGTATTACACAGTGATGCGGAAATGCCCTTCCGGACTGCACCGTTTCTACAAGGACGACTCTGCCATGATACATGAAAACTCAACTGTCTTTGGTCAAAAATTGATCCATGACAAGATTATGAGCATGGATTTTCAAAATTCTCGGGTTGGTATTCTTCGGTTGGATGCCCTTCGTGCGAACGGCAACAGTGTGCTTATTCAGGTATGTCAATTGTTTTCATGGCCGTATCTTCAGGTCTCTGGCGAAATCAGTGTAGGTGGTGGCGATTTCCGCAGATTCATGCAGAGTTTCGTGCTATGTGAACAAGCGCCTTGCGACTTTTACGTACTGAACGATATTTTCCGTTATCAGGACCATGTGTATGGTGACGTTAAAACGGTCGAGAATTCAGAACAAAGTAGGATCATTTCTCAAGTCTCATCTTTTAGGGCTTGCTGAACCTGAACACTTAGTAGGATTATCGTCTGAAGACGTCAGCCGTTTACAGAGTAGTCGCGTAGAACCTGAGGTAAGGTCGTCCCTTGGAATCTCAAGACAGCAGGGCGTCGTCACTTGGGACAATTCAACTGCAGCGGATCTGTCGTACGTGAAAAGTGAAGGCGCCATTGAATCACATGGTGGTAGCCACATTGAGGTCCGAGAACCAGAGGCACCTCATGAGAAACATATTCCAATGCGTTCGCCTCCTAGCCCACATAACGTAGGCTCAGATTTGCCCGATGAGGCCCTACATACTCCTCCGGCTGCACCCCAGCCCTGCACGTGGGCACAAATGGCGTCGAAACAGCCTGCGCATGCTGTGATGAATGTGCAAACTTCGAAGTTTTCGAAGGTGGCCTCACATGGAACAGTTCACCCAAGTTTCGATGAGTCCTCCAAAATAAATCGTCAGGCATCTATTGGCGGCGCTACTGCCATGACCCAAAGGTAAAATATTTTGTGTCCACTTCATATGGTTCAAGGCCGTGTTGTTGACTGCATTCAGTATTTTTGTCCATGGTGCTCTTATTGATTGCTCTCGTCCATTTCACCGTGTCCACAAATGTTGCACTTTGCCGCAATCATTTCCGTTCAGTTTTCCAATTACGAACTTCGTATCAACGTATAGGGGTACATTTCAATTCAACAAAGACGAAGGACCACGAAGCAGAGCCACACATGGAGGAAGAGTCAACAATAAGATTATTGCAATTACGTTCGGTTTTCTATGCAGCATTTAGTTAGAATAATGTATTCAGGAAATCCGTACAACAGAATTCACAGGTAGGATGGGACGTATAATGCATACTGAAAGCCGATATCTAGGACTCTAGAGTATTTCCGATAACTCTGCAGGCATTGCAGGAGTTAGTGGCTGATTGAAGTTATCAGTTTTTAAATCGTCTGATTGGGCGCTTGGAGGTTTAGGCACCTCAGAATGCTAGCTGTAGGCCAGCACTTTGCGGTTGTAATGCAGTGAAGCATCATTGGGGCGAGATGGCCGAAGTGGTTAGAGCGCGAATTTACTGACCGGAAGGTCCGTGGTTCGAATCCGACCTATGCCTCTCGACTTCTCCTGTCTAGGCTTGGGCAACCTGACAGTATCCCAGCCCTCGTGCAGTTGTGGAGTGGCATGGCACTTAGGCACCGAAAGGGTGCTACAGCTGGACGATTTTTGATATTGTCAGCACTGATGTCACTGTTCAGATGATGATGACGATGAATACCCCCTCATTTCACCCACTCAAACAGCCGTAGCTTGCGGATTGGAATCCCTCAATTGAAGGATTGGTATGAATTTCTGCTTTTTAAACGCCAAGGGGTTCCTGGGCCAAACATGCGTTGTTGAAAGTCTGGTGAGTGGCCGAACAAGTCGTCTGAACTCATTTTAAAACAAAACATGTTGCCAGGCTAGGGCCACCCAAGAAGTTGCCCGAGGCGACACTTCCGGTCGTTAGGGTATAGGCCTCACTTTGTCAACCCTACTGCTAACCCGGATACTCCGACATCTAGTTCTTGAAAGTGAAACGCAGACCCAGGAGTATCCAACAACATTCCAAGCAGCATCAGGCATCGGCGCAAGGTGTCTAATGTTTATGAGACTTGAACTTTGGTTTGACGGACTGTACGCATCCGTGACCACTTGAGCTATACTGCCGGAGGTGAGTGTTCTCGAGAAACTGGTCAGTGGTTTTATTTCTGGTCAATGCTTTCCTGGTTTCCAGCTTGGAAGTGGCGTTTTGTTCTACGAGTGTTTCCCAACACGTCCTGCCTAGGTTCGGGCGTCTGACAACATACCAGCTTGAATACAGCTATGATTCCTACATCCAGAAGTAATTTCATGGTACATAGACCATAGGCCGCTGTCATAATCTTAACCGCCTTGTTGCATACAGTGGGATGGGCAAGCAAAAACTACCCCCTACCGACGCCTCTCTTTTCCTTGTTTTCTCCCTCTCCCCACCCATTAATGTTACTGTCCATGTAGACCGATCCGTCAGAATAAACGATCTCATTTGTTGTGCATCGGTATCGTCCGCGAACCCGGTGCCGCCAAACCCAGACATTCCTAAAAATCGCCTGAAATCGCCTGACGTTGATGGGTGTATCTGTACCCCAATCCCACACCAACGAAAACAACTATGACGCTTAAAGTGCCCCGTTATGGCTAAAAAGAGCTCAGGTATCGCCGCGGTTTCCGGGGATTTGAATGCGCAAGTGGACAGAGTCAGCGCATCTGAGACGCCATTCACTGACCGAATTGGATTTCAGTCGGTACTTACAGACAATGGCGAGCGGCTGCTTCAACTGACTTTGTAAGGCGGACCGCTCCAACAACATTCAAACTCTTCGTACTCTCTGTCACACACTTCTACTCAGTCGCATGTTGCACATCTCGTAGTTTGTGCCATTCTGAGGGGTCTCGGTAGACGATGCTTCCTCATGCATAGCACATTACTGAGGCACCGCAGTTAGTGGTACTAGGTGTTCTCCGTGACTGGACTAATTATCGCACAAACGATTCCCCGCCTGATTTCCCAGTTTCACACTGGTTGATGCGCCTGACATCAGCGACACATCTGGCATGTCGGTGATGGAAAATCTGAAGATGCCTTACATCATCCGCTCATGGAAACCATGTCTGGCAACCATGCAACATTACAATTCTTGCTATAGCTTGGTACACACGACACTTGAAACCCGGTGGTACTCCTGACGCCGTAGTTTACGCGAATTGGCAGTAGCGGCTCGCACTGCTGACTTCATCAAACACATTCCTGTCAGAGCTAATACAACTGTCGAAGTATATAAAATTCTCCACAACCTGTGCTTCTCTATTTGCAAAAGGCCTGATCAAGGACGTTCTGAACTGTAAATCTACTTTGAAGGCGCAGTCGCATACCGGAACTGGGTGCAATAATGGGTTGGTTCGACAGTGCTTATACATGGCCTTAGCCCGATGTCACCTGCGTACTCCGTATCTACAAGGTTCTCATCAGCAACGACTTCACCGCTGGGGTGATGAAGCCTCTATGGTGGCCATCCCATTATTTCATTAATGACGAAATTGAACAAAAGTGGAGAGTGTGCACATGCTTTACAGACACCACTTTTTGTAGGAAAGCCATTGGAGAACCCACCATGGACTATCATGCCCACAAGTATGCGAATATGCGAACTGGAGTATGTTCATAAACTTCTGTGGCATACCTTGTTGAACAGCGCAGACCGGCCGACTGAATCGAACGCACCCTTGAAGTCAAGGAATACCAAGATTGTGGGTCGTCTGTACACGTCTTGTTGCACTAGCATCAAACGGAGTGTGAAGATGTGGTTGACTCATCCTCTACCCAATTGAAACCCCGCTTGATGCTCATAGGTCAAGGATTCGCATGCTGCCGGAAGACGACGAAGGAGTAGTCGTGCCACACGTCTCGTTACAGCGGGAGTCAACCTGACACATTCACTGTGATTGCTTTCTTTGAAGTGGGCATGATAGTCATGGACGGTCTGTTTATTCCAGACAAATCCAAATAGGCTAGACAAGCACTAGATGAGGAAGCAATCTCCATCCTTCAACAGAGGTGGGATGTCGTGAGGACCAGGATCGTGATGGAGTTTGACTATGGACATGCGTTTGAGCACTTCTGAGGCTGTAAGGGGTTTCATGTTCACGGTCTACCTTTCTGTTAAAGACCAAGACTCCGGATCTTGATAGCAGGTGGTCAAATGAATTGTTGCTCAACATGTCCTGCCCAGCGTTCCAAACGCCATCCACTGCTCGATATCAAAGAGCCATCTTCGTCCCAGAAAGTTTCACTGGCAAGAGGCTCTCACCTCTTTCACGCCTCCTTTCACATATTTTTTTATCCTTCCCGTATAAAATATGAATACTCTGTCCATAAATGCTTAGCTGTAGTTTCTGTGTATCCGACTTGAGTAACAACTACAAACGCGGAAGGCCGGTGTACGTGAATTCCTCTGATGTTCGCACACTGAAACAAGCAGGACAACAAGTGGCTTTTGCTCGCACAGCAGATCCCCTCTGCACTGATGTATTTTTGTTCACAACAAGGCTACATGACGCAAGTACTGTGATTGAACTGATTTCCCCCTCGCTCCCACTCAGGTTCCGGCTGCGCATTTCTGTTGATGCAGAGGCCGGTGCAGCTGGATATGCTGGGGTGGAT